AGATTCATTTAAAAAAATTCATTTTTTTAAATAACTAGATGTAATGTAACTTTATGTAATTGTATGTTGATGTATTGTAATGTTTTATGTACTCCAGTCTCTCCTGGAAGAATAGCTGTCACGGGTGGGCAGCTAAAGGAGAGGTTTTTTTTACAATAAATACCAATTCAAAGAATATACAGGTCTTACTCTGAAAAGAGTTGTAGAAAAAGTTGTGTAATGGTAGATCTAAACGGAAGATAGATGTCTATAGGCTGTTTCACTGAACTGTGATCGTAAACAATGACTGCACTTCATAGTAGCTGATGTATTTATTATGTACAACACTAGTACAGTATGGCTTTCCACACTTTCAACATCTGCTTGGGGGCTGAGGTGAACGGCCGGAGTGTAGCTGAGTCAGCTCGCGATAAACACTGCCAATCACCGACCAGTCTGGGTTAGATTACCGGTGAGCTTCTGCCCAGAACCCCGCTACTCCGCGGGTGAAGGCCCTGGGCTGTCTGGGGAAGTGTAGTAAACAAGCCGGGTTTGGCACAGAATGGTACAAAAACTGACAACTGATACCTCCGATCCACTACCGTATCATTCTTAGAAAGTTAACAAGCGAATCCGCTCAAAACCTGGACATGATACAAGAACATCTCACTTGCATTAAAATTATATCAAAATGGACTCCAGGGTTTGCCAAATTAGTACAAAACCTGACATCACACTTTCATAGTAGTTGAAAGTCAACAGCTGAAGAAAGAAAGAAGAAATATCACATTAAACTTATATCAAAATCGACCCCAGGACGAACAGTGTGAACTTTACACTAATAGAGACTCTAAGAAAACTTATATACAAACAAACAAACAAACAAACAAACAAACAAACGAACGAATAAACAAACAAATCTACATTTCCAAACTAACCAATTATCACGAACTCAGTAACTGTGACATACATTTTCTGGCACGTATAGATCAAATCAAGCTAGATTTCATAATGAAGACAATTTTTGCCAAACTTTTTTTAATCGCACGCTCGCATCAGTTTTGGGATTCCCAAAGTATGTCATCCATATAATCAAATCAACATGGCCTTACAAAGGGCATGCATGCCCTCCAAGTTACTTCTAACTTTTCAGCTCTCCATGGAAAACAGAAGCTGAGGACAACATCAGGCCGATACATGTAGATGTCAGTAGGGTTAGGGGGAGGTACAGTTTTGTACAGGAAGATATCGAGGAAGTGATAAGAATGTATATTTAGCGTCCTGAAAACGAATGAAGGCCGTAGGTTACGGTTGGGACGCCTTGTGTGGAAGGACGTATATTCTCTCCTCAGTAGCGGTAGGGCCAAAAATAAAGAGAAAACAGGCGTCTTGAACATGACTTTCCCCATCTGTTTCAAATCGGAAGGTCAGTGGTGTTTTACTCCCTTTTCTCTTGTAATTGCCAATCTTCAGTAGCTCAGTGGTACGAGTATCATTACCAAACACACCCTCGCGGCCTGTATTACGTAACTACTTGTCATAATGCGTTACCTACACACCAATAATGCTACTTGCGCTTTTGCATACGTATATGTAGTGCATATGGTCTTTTTTAGTCTTTTTTGTTGGCTTTTTCTACCTATGTCTGACTGAACTATCCTCAACTCATAAAACGAGTTTGTGAGTTTTGGCAAAACGATATTATTGGGGTGGAAACAAGAACGGCTATTTGCGGGTGAGATAAATTAAGATTAAATCCGAATCTTTACTCAGTATACCACGACTGGCCTACTGGCAAGTGTCAACGTTTTGTCAAGTCAACGCCTCTCAAGCACGAATGCGATGTCAGGAAATGTGTCCTGTCATTCCGTACCTCCCCATACCACGTTTCTCTTACACAAATGTGGGCGGGAGGTGACAGAAAATCGGTCAAGAGTAAATTATAAGGAGTCGGGGACACCTCCCCCTTTTTACCGCCTCGGTACCTGTCCCGTACCGGTCACCTCTTCACGCCGAATTGCACTTGTGTAGAGGAATCTCAATATTTGATCAAGCTCTCCACACATAGCCACTATTGTATAGTGTGTTTGATGTCGTCTCGGGAAGGTTGGCTGATAGTGTTTTCTCTTTTTTGTGTGTGAGGTTTTAAAAACCACAATGTACTATTTAATACTATCTTAATGTATAATATATCTTTTTATTGTTTCTTTAACAAAAGTACACTTCCATGCTCGAATATTTGAGAAAAAACTTGGTCATGTGGTTAACTTCATCAGTTCTGGTATGGCTTGAGATCTAGTTTAATTACCGAGTTGCAGTGAACCGTGATGTAAATACACCCACCCACCTGCCAGGCATTTTGCTGATGGGAGAAATTTTCGAATTTTTCAGCCGTTCATAAAGCTGTGAAAAGAACTACATCCTTTCATGTGATCATCAAGAAGCCTAGACCAGGTTTTGAAGAACCGTACTCCTTAAATCGTAGTCAAAAGAGCATGTTATATCTATAACAGGATCGTAAAAGTTCACATTGCTTCAACTGTGTACAAGTATCAGTAAATCAGGAACAACAGATCTTTTCAAGGAACGTTGAACTCGAAAGAAAACCACTGACGTGTAATAATCCATAGCTTGTCAGTTTAAGCAAAGGTATTGAAGAGTATCCAACCGGAAATGTCAAACATAATCTATAGATGGCATCAGATACGAACACAGTAGTTGAACCAAAAGTTTAATCAAACTCTTTGATGAATGCATCATCATTTCTCAAAGAGTAACTGTCACCATCTTGTAATTGATATTTCGAAAGTTCATCTGTGTTGGTAGAAGTCATTTTGAACAAGATTGAACTGTAATTGCCAACACAAAAAATTGGACTCATCCAAATGTGACAAAGACTGGAGTTGTACAGTCGAAAAATTTGGGTGAGTCCAATTTTTTGTGTTAGCAATTACAGTTCAAACTTGTTCATCTTGTAACTGTATATGCCAATGCAACCTAATTTAGTGTAAGGCCAAGCCACATTTATTTATTTCATGGTTTTTGGATTCGTTATATCTTGATATAATGTCCTTGGTATTTGTGATGCTCTACTGCTCAGTGATTTTATATAAAAATGTCCTAATGAAGGTGAATTTGCACTTTCTTCCTTTCTTGTCATGATCATGACACAAAACTAGATTCAGATTTGTTTTCTTTTAGTCTAGTACATTTAAATGCTGCACATACACATGTATGTATAAAGAAATAGGTGAACTATTAGGTCAGTTAAGCCAAGCAAATTTAAGGGCTTTTCAGTTCCTTCCCCTTAAGAAATAAGATCAAAGGCTAATCAATTTCACTCATGACCTGTCAGTGTTGACCTGTGGTAACATGGTTTTACACAAAATGCTTACCTTTCAATAACATGGACATCTGATACTGAATCTTTGTAGGTGTATGTAGTAATCGAATGTCCCTTTCACCCATTTAGCCAAATGCACAGGGATCAGCACACTAATAGAAAGTTGCAGTTACAATAGTAAGGCCACACCAATTCAATTTTTCATTTTTTTCTTCAAATTTGCAAATCACAAAAAAATTGAAGCGGGCGAATCGAAGAACCAAGAAATTTTATTGGTGTGGCCTTAATAGGTATCATTTGCAGCTGTCTGCGTTGAATAATTCTGTACCAGTCACCACCTCGCTCCTCAACGCTCAATTTTCCGGCAAGATTGCATCACCTCCCGGATTACCTGTTACGTCCAGTTTACCCCTTCTATTTGTCCAACGCATTTGCCTAGTCACTCTCCAACAAAAGTTTTATCAATGTGCAAACGAAGTTCCTTCCTTATAGGCACCAGTCCCAATGTGTGCATACTCCATACAAAGTCCAGTATGCACAGAACGATCCCTTATCTAATAACTTTTACACCTGCATACTGCTAGTAGGGATGCTATAGAGACTGGTTGTGTAATGGTTTTGTGTAATGCAGTTGCTAGAGAAGTTAGGTAACGTATACAAAAAGCTAAAGGATGCTTTGCTTGTGTAGGCCACACCAATATAATTAATTGGCTCTCAGATCAATACATTGGTTTGATAAAAGGTTAAAAATTTGAATTACAAACCAGCCTGGTATGTTCAGACATCATGGCTCCTATTGTAGCTTTGGGGGCTATCAGAGGATGCTGTTTTTTTTTCGCCCTGTCCCTTCACATTTTTACAGAAATTATTCGAGAACCAACAAATCAGATTGGTGTGGCCTTATAATGGTTAATATTATTGCACAATGATTGTACAAGGTACAAAGTATGGCAACTACTGGTACATAACTACAGTAGCACATAAATGCTAATAAATGATACAAGAGTGAGTAGTATGGGATTAGAATGTAGTATGGGAATAAAAATATTTTTTTACAATCATTGCTGGGATTTCTAATATCTGCCATGCAGGATTGTCACATATCATTAATATGTACTTAATAGATCTATGTACTTAAATTTTCAATTCAAGTCCAAGATAATAGATATGTGCATAGTAAATTAATGTTGCACATATAAAAATATTTAGGATATATGCTGTGGATGCTGTGTCCAACATTGCATCAGAAAATATGTATTGGAATGCTTGATGACCATATTTTTTCAGCTCTCATGAACTGACTAGACAAGGGTGACCATAATCAATGCCAAACTTATGCAAAGTCATAAGTTTGGCATTGATTATGGTCACCCTGTTCTAGTCAGTTCATGAGAGCTGAAAAAATATGGTCATCAAGCATTCCAATACATATTTTCTGATGCAATGTTGGACACAGCATCCACAGCATATATCCTAAATATCATGGTGATGATGATGTATGGATTTTGGAATGACATTTTAGTATGGAAGAAATGCATTGTAATTGTATGCTGCACACCCTCTTTTTGACAATGGTTTTGCTAGAAGTACACAATGTCATGTATCATGAAAATGTTATAGTTGACTCAAAAAATGCAGCAAGTAATTAAACTGCTTTCTTTTTTTTGTATTTCCACAGGTCAGACAACATGAGCAAGATATAGGAACAGTTCCAGATGTAAGTAAATGTGAATTGTTTAATGTATTTCTGACACAGTGTCAATGCTTAAGTATCATATTTTATATAAAATGCCTTGGGAAAATTGCTGCATATTTTTTAGAACTTTTTATTGCTTTTGTAATTACACTGTATCTTTTATTTTCTGAGAGTTATTGTTATTTTCCCCACAGGATATTTCGAACCAGCTGTCCAATCTTGACAATAGTATAACTACGTTGCGACGAGATGTTACAAACTTGCAACAAGTAAGTACAAATGTACAATGTACTTGTATATGCAATGTATTTTCTGTAAGACCCCACAGTCACACCCCTGTTAGTAGAATAGACTGGTCCATTGACCCAGAGAGGTCAAGACATTCCAGGAGATATTCCAGGACAGGACTGTATAGTGACCATGTCAGGGGATCACCTGGAGTTATTAGGACAATGTAGTTTTACTTAGGCCACACTGACTTACATGTAATTTTCTGGGTGACATCCTCTGACGACCCCAAAAGTTCATGTACTACTGTGATGTAGTGTGCGCGGGCGAATAGAAAAATTCCAAACCCTAAAAAATGCTGTTTAATTTACCACAGTGACTGTGAATACAAAATTTATAGTAATTGTGAATTTTCAGTTACTGTAGTACATAGACAAAAGCGTATTTAGATTTCAGTTGTTTAATTTCCTTTCTTTTGACCTGTCATCAGAACCAGGGTTCCACAGATGTACAACAGTTGCAGACACGATTGACAACCTTGGAACAGACAGTAAGTCATAACTGTTGTTTAGAGCTACAAGTACTTTCTGCATACCTACTCTGGTGCAGGTAACATTAAAATGGATAAACATTGTGTATGTATTGCCATACTCTGATGGAGTGACCGTCAACACACATTGCCAAGATGAAAGCATGCAAGAAAAAAATTGGTATACCTAAAAGTGCAAAATGGAATGAAATCGGATGAAATTGGACAAAATAGAATGGCAAATTTTCACCTACACCAGCCAAATTTTAGGATAAAAATGGAATATTTCTGTACTGAATTGATATGATTGACTATATTGACTATAATTTTACTTCATATTTCAGGTACAACAGATACAGACATCTGTGAACACTCTGACAACAGTAAGTATGATGACAGTATTTCACATCTGATACAATCTCAACCTTATTGCCTTTGTCAAGAAACTATATTTTTCATATATACCTGTAGTTTCTTGATGTGTAGTTTATAAATTAGCAGCATAGCTCAAGAAGTTTTAAATGGATTGCTATGGAATTAAGTATGAGATTACGAGTAGTGCTTTGCCAATCAAAATAATTACTTACTAAGATTATAAGCCCCCTGGAAGCTTTCCATAGTACTGCAGCGGAACTTCACAATGCATGTTATGTATGTTGTATTGTCTTGTTTGTCAGCTTGTTCTGCAGAATGTATTGCATAGTGTCCTGAGTCTCCTGACGTATTTTGCACTTTTTCCAGAAACTTACGGTGGACGAGTGTTTGAGTAACCCTTGTCGAAATGGAGGCACCTGTATGGACATGTACAACGGCTTTCTCTGCTCATGCCCAGAACAGTGGCAGGTAAGGTCCACACAGACAATGACAATGACAATGACAATGACTTTATTAGCAATGCCATACAGTAGTATTTATGTAGTATTGCCAAGATGACAGCATGCAAAAAAACATTGGTGTACAGAAAGTGCGAAATGGAACGAAATTGGATGAAATAGAATGAAATGGGACCAGTGTTCGAGCTACCTTGAAATATCAATTTTGTTCAACATAACATCATGCCATGCACTGAATGTTTTGAAATCTGGACCCTAGGTGCATTGTGAGGGGCAAATTTTACTGGTAGACTAAGCACCTCCTAGTTTTTGTCCCATATGATTGTCAAATGACAGAAAGGCAAAATGAAACGAAATAGAATGGCAAATTTGCACTTTCTGTACACCACAAAAAATTATATCAAAAGTTATGAACGTAGGATTGACAACTTTTTTTTTTTGCTTGAACTATCAATATCATTGAGTGGAACTCTTTGGTAGGGATTTCAGGGGTCGAAATAACCCTCTGTGTGCAACTTGGTGCAAGTAAATTTGGTGTCGTGCAACTAATTTTTTGCCTGCTTGCACCATGGTGCAAGTTTGCTTTATCCACTGTTACTACCTGTAGAATTACCCAATAATATTAATTAATAAAGAACTGGAGTGGAAAGGAACAAAACCAGAATCCATGAAGTTTTTCTTCATTTTTTGTAAGTAACAGAAGGTTACTATCTACGTCGCTGCCAGCGGATGTTTCCCATCACTTCTGTATTTTTGGAGGGTGCAACTATTTTTCTTCCGGTGCAAGTATTTTTCTTTTCATTTGCACCAGTGCAAGTTGGCCCCAAAATCTATTTCGACCCCTGGATTTGAACATGTGTGTCATCAGTTGCATTCTGAAAATATGATAAACATTGAATTGTTAGACAAACCCAGTTTGTGACTCTGTTCTTTTTTTATTCAGGGTGCAACTTGTGAAACTGACTTCAATGAATGTCAGTACTGGCAGGGCACTTCTAAAGGCTGTCAGAATGGCGCCACCTGTACCAACACTCCAGGAGGATTCCAGTGAGTTTCCTTATTCTCATCTCGATTACATCAGGGTTATTATTTTGGTCTCATTGTTCCCCATGCTTGCAACAAGACATGCATAGGCTGGCTGGAAAATTTGTGCCTGTCACAAAGTTATTGAGCATTTAATTTAGTTTATTGATATTATGAGTTTGATATACAGTCAAAGACTACCCTGTGGACTGAGAAAATGTGGTCTTCTTAGACAATTGGTCTTATACAAAAAGCATGGCAACCAGACAGAGATGCAAGTTTGACTGTATTTAATGACATTAAAGATGAACAACATTTTATTATTGATTGTCCACTAGATAACGATAAAGTCAATTCATCTATTGTCTTGTAGCCATGTTGTACCCACGTATCTGTCTGTATGTCTACATGTAGTTTAAGACCTTACGAAAGTCGCTGTACTTTTTGTTGTGTCAATAAATTTCTCTTGAACAATTTCTCCACAGATGTACCTGTACTGCAGAGTGGGGTGGTGCCCTGTGTAACGTCCGTGTTAATGACTGTAGCAGTGGGTCTTCAACAGACATCTGTGGGCATGGCACATGTGTGGATATGGACAGGACACAGCCTGGACAGGTATGGTATTCTTCTGTACTTCATCCATCCGTCCATCCGTTCCTCTGTCTATTCCTCCGTCTGTCCCTCCCTCCGTCCATCCATCCATCCATCCATCCATCCATCCATCCATCCATCCATCCATCCGTCCATCCGTCCATCCGTCCATCCGTCCATCCGTCCATCCGTCCATCCATCCGTCCAACCAACCAACCAACCAACCAACCAACCAACCAACCAACCAACCAACCAACCAACCAACCAACCAACCAACCAACCAACCAACCAACCAACCAACCAACCAACACACACAACACACCCACACAACACACCCACCCACCTACTCACCCACTCACCCAGTTTCCAATTAAAAAATCAGACTGAAAACATAATGTAATGAGATGGCATGCTTTTCCATTCTTTATTCATTCATACATTATTCCATAATCCTTCTCCCCACAGCTTGCCTATGACTGTATCTGTGATGACGGCTGGAAGAAGGGTGCAGACCCTAGCAGCCCTGCCTGTGTGATTGACATTGATGAGTGCACAGAGAACAACATCCCGCCCTGCTCCCATGATCCTCCTGTTCAGTGCATCAACGTACCGGGGACATACTACTGTGGACAGTGCCCTGCTGGTAAGTACAGTCAAGTTTCTAATGTTTGCAGTGGTTGCCCTGTCCATCCATTGGTTGACACTGCAATTATGCGTTTCCAGTGTGTTAATACTGTACTACAGAATTGTTCAATCAACTGTGAATTTGTGTTTATTGACTTCATTCATTTTACACTAAAACATTCCTTTTCTGTCATGGAAGAACTAGTACGCTGTTTCTGCTTTGCCCTTTGCATGTTGAAACCTTCTTTGTACACTTTTTGTCAAAAATATCATGATTTACAAAATCTATGTATCACACCTACAGGGTACACTGGCAATGGGTATGCCTGTGCAGACTTAAACGAGTGCCTGACGAACAATGGTGGCTGCTCGCAGGCACCTCTGGTGCAGTGCTTGAACACCCCAGGGTCCTTCTTCTGTGGCAACTGTCCTGCAGGTAAAACAATACATCATCATCATCAGTCGACGGTATTGGTATCAGTCGACTGTATCATATTTTTGGATGGTCTTGAGAAAGAAATTTGTCTTAACATGTTTCATTTAAATGACATTGTAACTTTGTGTGACAGAGGCTTAATCCATGGTTCTTTCTTCCCATTTCCAGGGTACACAGGAGATGGAAGAACCTGCACTAATGTTGATATCTGCAGTGTTAACAATGGTGGTTGTCACCCTCTGGCTACCTGCACATCCAACCCAGGTCTGGCACATTGACTTTCTATTCTTCCCCTTCATTTAAAGATCAAATCTTCAAGATTCTCGGTAATTTACAATGAATGATTTGTACTTGTATTTGAAGTTAAAGTTTGCACTCATGTAGTTGTTCATAAATAAACATAAGTTTTCAGTGTTTTCATATGAATGTTAGAACATATCCTTGGAATGCTATTTGCTTAATACTCAGTTATTAATAGATATGAGTAGAAAAATTGCATGTGGTTCTAAACAAAACTCTTTTCTTTCGTTGTTGAGTAGTACCAGTTGACAACTCTTTCCATGGGGTAACATTACTGAGCAAGCCATTTCTTTTATTGAACCATTGCTAAGTTGTTGAATATAGTAGAGGGGATTCATTCCTCAAGCTAACCGACATCTCACACACACAGACGTCCCTCAGTAAGACATCTGGCCATGGAGCTGCATAGTTCCCGTTTAGAACTTTGTGTGTGACAGGCTGAATAAAAGTTAAAACGGTAACTATATGGCTCAAGATGTCTTACTGATCGAGGGACGACTGCGTGTGTGAGATGTCGGTTAGCTTGAGGAATGAATCCCCTAGCCTGTACTATACATGTACATTGCTAAAGGTATTGAGTAATACTTTATATTACTCCTTTTATATTTATATTTTATCTTTAAAAACATTTACATTGTGGTACTAAGCAAGCCATTTCTTTTAGCCAGCGCTGGCAATGTCATGCGGCAGTGCCAATGTCCTACTGGGTTCATCGGGAGTGGGGTTGGTCCTCAGGGGTGCCGAGCGCGCCCCAACCCCTGCAGACCCAACCCCTGTCAACATGGGAGGTGTAGGGTCCGATCCAACAGGGTTTGTAACGCCACGGTTTTGTCTTTCAGCCTGGCATGCGGACAACAGATCTAGCCTGGTTTAAACCACCACTAACCTGCATGAGTTAGTATCAGTATTACTAACCCTGCATGATGTGTTGTTTTTTTTACTAACTAGTCATCAGTAACACGTACCGAACGTGCACGTGTCCGCCTGGTTACGTTGGTAATGGAGAGGGATCGAACGGATGTGTTCAGTCGGCTGGAGCATGTGCCGCCAACCCATGTGTTAACGGAGCTTGTGTGGTATGGACACTTAGACCATTTTTGTCTTCTAAAACATTTTTCCAATGCCTTGCTGTGTAGATTGTTAATGAAAATTTTGGCAACATATCTTGAAACTGTATCTAAATATGCTTTACTTACTATATGTATAAGTGACATTTGACATTCTTTCTATATCCAAGAATCACAAATTTAGATTGGTGTTGCCTTATGTTCATATAAGAGATATCAATTTATATTTTTTTATTGCTCCATAGAATACCAACAACGGGTATCGCTGTAATTGCGATCCTGGTTTTACGGGAACCAACTGTGACCAAGATATCAACGAATGTGCGAGCAACCCATGCCAAAATGGCGCCACCTGCGTTGACGGCGTGAATGGCTACAGTTGCACCTGCACCAGTGCCTTTACTGGGCCCAACTGTGAACAGGCCCAACAAAGTAAGTAGAGAGACTCATAGCAGGGCTTGAAATTCATTTTTGGGAATAGGTTCACTGGTGCACCCAACTTAAAGAATTGTGTGCACAAAAAAAGTTTTTGGGTGCATCTGCCCTGATGCTTGCGGTTGATTGATTATATAGAATAGAATAAGTAGAATGTCAGCAAAACTAATTAAGTTTCATTTTTAAAGAAAAGTACTACAACAATGATTTGATTTTTTTGTGGAATCTACCACCATCACAGTTCAGAGATGGTTGATGGGCCCTGATGTAAATTGCCTCCTTCACGCCCCTCACAAAGTAGTCCTTCTCCGTGTCCAGTATGTGTACCTTATGCCGTATAACTGTGTGGCCTGGGGAATCGATTTTTATGTGTTGTGAAACTTCAGATGTAGTGGCACTGTTTTTTAACAAAACTAATTGTTTTTTCCAGCCTGTGGTGGGAGTTTGTCAGGAGAGTCTGGTTCCTTCACGTTCCCCCTCACACCAGGACAGAACTACCCACATGGACTCAGCTGTGCATGGGTCATCACTACCACTCCTGGAAAGGTACTTCAAGCCAGATATATAAAATTATATTTTTTACTCTAAAGAAAAAAAACTTTTTAAAAATCCTTACTAACCATAGTTTCATTCAGGACTGAAACACAACCTTAATTTTCTTAGGCATCATCAAAGGATCAACAACAAAAATTAAAATTGCTTTGTGCTTATCAACGAACAACCTTTCACCTCTGACCTTTGAACCTTCCAGGTGCTGTACATTACCTTCCCAGAGTTCCACCTTGAACAAGCGAGCAACTGCCAGTACGACTGGGTACAGATCCACGACGGCGGGTCGGCGTCTGCGTACCAGATAGGGAAGTACTGCGGCACGACGGCGCCCAACCCGATAACCAGCACGCACAACCAGCTGTACTTCTGGTTCCGCTCGGACCAGTCAGTGTCGGGAGATGGTTTCACGGTGGTTTGGCAGTCCCAGGACCCTGGTACGTCAGGTTGAGGTTTTATTAAGAAAGGAAATGAAGATATACTTAAACCATGATAAGGAACTTTATCTTTGTTGTAACTGGGCCGCGTTAACGTACTGTTTCTTTGTTACAAGTGTATAGCTACTAATACTGTGTAATGATACGTGTAGTATGTTTAATAATTTTTAAATTATATTCAGCTTGTGGAGGGGACCTCACCGGTGCTGATCATGGGTCCATCTCGTCTCCTGGTTACCCCGGCACCTACCCCATCAACAGAGACTGTGTGTGGCGGATTCAGGTGTCGCTTGGAAACCAGATCACTTTTGCCTTCGCACACTTCGCACTGGAGCACCACGATACATGTGCCTATGACTTTGTGGAGGTATGTACTTAGTCTTAGACTAGTATATCAGGGCTCAAAATACTCAGGGTGCATGTGCACCTTAGTGCACCCAAATTTTGAGCTGTGCACCCAATTCATTTCTGTGGGTGCACCAAATATTTTCATAGGTTTACATAATATGTTAAATGTCGTGTCTAGTAGTAAACAACATCTAAGTGTAAGAAAAATGATAAATTAAAATCCTTATAGTACTTTTTGAAATGAAACATGATTGTATTTTGTGCTGACTTTCTTATTTTATATTATATGGTGCACCCCCCAAAAAATTTGTCATACTTTGTTGTGTTGTAATGTTTTTGTTTTGCTGTAGATTCTGGATGGTTATACAGAGACTGACCCCTCCCTGGGGAAGTGGTGCAGCACGCCCGACACCCTCCCCACCCCCATCACAACCATGGGGCCGTTCGCTTACGTACGCTTCCACTCGGACCAGAGCCTCACCGACTCCGGTTTCCTCATTACATACACTGCTCAACAACGTAAGTACAAACATTTAGCATGAAAGTCATAATTATAAGCCAGGCCACCTGTTAAAGTATCGCTCACATGCTGGCTGTGGCGGGGCACAGTTTATTTCAGAAGCTGTAACTTTCACGCTGGTCAGCTTGGCATCTCCATTTATTAGTCTCACACAGAAAACTGCATAGCAAGAGTGGGTATTTCAAACCCTGATATCAGCATACATGTATTCTCTTTTAAATTTCAGTTGGTGGAGGCTGCGGTGGGCTGTTCACAGAAGATGAAGGCATCATCATTTCTCCCAACTATCCCAACGCCTACCCGCACAACCAGGAGTGTATCTGGGTCATCCGTGTTCCCGACACAGAGGTCGTCACTCTGACCTTCACTAACATGGACGTAGAGGCTCATGGGAACTGTATCTGGGACTATGTGGAGGTCAGTGTTGCAGCAAGAGAAAATTAGACCACACTAATTTGATGTCTTGGATTTGCGAGCTGTTTTGGTCCTATTCAATATTGTATATTGTTTTTGCTGTTTCTTCTTTTTTCTCTTTTCCAAACAAATGAGGTCAATGACCTGGACCAGATGGCTGTCACCATGGTAACTGGTACTTGAGTAGGCACCATCTGGTTTTGAATTACATAAAGTAGCAAGTGGCAGGACAGAGTTTCAGGGGCTGGCCACTGTATATTATGATTACATGTTTGAGTAAGAATAAATAGAGCTATACTTTGTTACTCTAGGCTATAGATCATCCGGATGTTGTAAAGTTAAACATAACAAACTCAAAACACCACCAAATGAAATTCCTACAAAAATAAAAAAAAGTTTACAGTAATGTGGACTTTTCCGTCTTTAGGTGAGGGACGGTGGGGATGACACGGCTCCGTTTGTCGGCCGATACTGTAACCAAACCATCCCAGCACCCTTCACTTCCACCACCAATCAGCTGTTTGTCAAGTTCCGCTCAGACGCCTCACAGACCGGCTCTGGCTTCAGGGCTACCTGGGCAGTCAGTAAGTTCACTGCCATGTATTGCAGTTCTTCTTATCATAACTTCAAAGTTTTGTTGTCACTTTGTAATTATATATAGGAGATTTCTTGTTCATTACTGTAGTAAATGTGTAAAAGTGTACTACATTCAGGATTCAGGCAAAAGTCAAACCTAGAAAATGACAGCTCCATATGTATAGCGCAGTAACATTTCTCTATCATGTGTAGATAACGAACTTATTATCACTGTTGAGCTTTCACTAGTTTTATGCATTGTTTGTTGACCATTGTTTTTTTGTTTTTCAACATTAGATGAGTCAGATTAATCATGTGTAGATACTAGATAACAAATTTTATTGAAAATAAGTGAGGGCCAAGAAGAGATCCTTGTGGAACACCACCTAAATTTCTTCCATTGTTTTCACTCAGCTTGTGGCGGAGTCTTCACAGACCCAACAGGCACCCTGCTGTCCCCATACTTCCCTAACGCCTACCCACATGAGAAGGACTGTTACTACACCATCATGCAGCCCATTGGGAACACCATCACTGTCACCTTTGTAACATTCGATGTGGAGGACCAGACCAACTGTCTCTATGATTACCTGGATGTAAGTCTCATGAAATACATTCTAATTCCAGGCTCGAAATACTTAATTCCACACACTGGTACAGGTAACATTATATAATGACCTGAACCAGACAAATAATTGTACCTGCACCACTCAGAATTTGGGAAGTTAGGATCATATTGCAGACATGCAATACTGTATATGTCATGGGTTTAGATCTGGACTTTTAAGTGTGTGTTAAGTTTGCAGAAATATTTCTGAATTGCAGAACAAAATTTTGACCTTCTGCAATATTGCATTAGACTGAAAAAAAAGTATTTCTATCAATGATGATGACTGATGAGCTGTATCATGTATTTCTGTAGGTGAGGGACGGAGGTAGTGCTGACTCCCCCCGCCTGGCGCTGCTCTGTGGTACGGCCGTCCCCCCTCCTGTCGTGTCCACACAGAACGTCATGTGGCTCCACTTCCACACCGATGCCTCTGTCGCTAACAACGGATTCAGAGCAACTTACGATACTAACCAGGGTGGTACGTTCAATACTCTTTCTTTTGCTTGAATACAGTGAATAGTTTTATCAGTTTGGCAAGAAACAAATCATTAACATTGAAAAATTTTGTACTATTCGCCTTTTTTCTTTTCAACTACATACATGTACATCTATAACAAAACAACATATAAATTTTAGCACAAAGACAAAAAAGGCAGTTTACAATATATACATCACCTTTTATTAAATTTAGTTTTATAAGTCTTAGAGAATTATAATTACATACAATGTAATACAATGCTGCCTAAAAAACTCTAACATCTTGTTCTTCCTATGTTGACAGGATGTGGAGGCACACTGAATGGTGACACAGGTTCATTCACATCCCCGGGCCATCCGACTAACTACCCGCATGGCGCTCGCTGTGTCTGGTTCATCGAAGTTGACCCTGGCAAGGTCGTGCGTTTGACCTTCCACACCTTCACCCTGGAGAATCATGCCAACTGTAACTACGACTATGTGGAAGTGTACGACAACTCAACTGCCACTGGAACTGGTGGGCTCATTGGAAGGTGAGGTTCATTTTGCCTACTGTACATGTAGATTCAGTCATTTTGCACTCACTCACTCACTATCCGGTTTATCGTCTGTTGTTCTCAGTCTTCCGAGGGTTAGACGTACATGCACTGCAATACTGAGGCTTGATGGCTGCCCACTTGCCTCTGTCCTGTGGGTTGACGTTACATGTATGTAGGTGCAAGTGTTGGAAGTCTCTGTCAGACTATTTCTTCTTTGGTCAACCACAAGGGTTTGGACCTTCCACATCCAGTTTGAGAATGTTCTTAGGCCATTTGTCACTGTCCATTCACAGGAATTTAAAACTTGAAAAGGAGGTTTTGTAGTGTTTGAATTGAAGTTGAAATTGAAATGATCAAACTGTCTCTTGAATATGTTCTAAGGATTTTAATATTTGATTTTTATTTTATTCATGGACAATTAAGTGACACTGACATTAGCTTTATGAATCAAGGCCTGTTTGTGACATGCCCTATACAGGTATTGTGGCACAGCCACGCCCCCCGTGGTCACCAGTGCTGAGAACGTGATGACAGTCATCTTCCAGTCTGATGTTAGCATCGCCAGGGAAGGATTCACAGCATCCTATGTGGCCTTGGATGCATCTCTATGTAAGTTATCAACAACATTCAATTTGATTGATAACAGATACTCGGTAAAATCATGGTCAAAACCTTGTAAAAAAAACGTGAAATTTACACATATGAATGTGTATTAGTAAGAATCAACAGAGCAGACCATATATGAAGGTAAACATTATGCATTTGCTTTGCAAATGTCATTTCACTTGTAATTTATCCAGTAGTAGGGTTTGAATTTCCTTTAAGTGTTCTCTGAATGTTTCTTGTCACCTCTATCTCCATAGTGTGCGGCAATGCCCTGACCAGTGCGACTGGTATCATCGAAAGTCCCAACTATCCGGGCAACTATCCCCACAACCGTGAGTGTGAGTGGACGATCACCGTGCCAACTGGACAGCAGATTCGACTCAACTTCACCACCTTCAGCATCGAGAACCACGCTAACTGTAACTACGATTACCTGGAAGTCAGGTATGTGAAATGTCCAAAGTTGTCAAACTATCAAATACAGTGTGTCAAATAAAAGCCCAGAAAAGAACAAGAAATAGTCATGCCTAGTCAAATACCAGAGTTATCAACCAAGGATTGAGGTGTTCAAAAACTCATTTTTTCCTAGAACTATCCGATTGTACAATGTTAAATCACTCAGGTGTCAGATCTTGGGGTGCGCATAAAAAAAGGCTAGGGATAGCAGTTTTTTCTAGGTTTTTCAGGAAACACAATATCTTTTTCCTAGGCCTAACCATTGGTGGCCTAAAGGCTACATCAGTGTGCTAAAGGTTGAATTTAAGTACATGCGAACTAGTCCTTTGCATGTTGTTACTTACATACCTGTAATTATAAAACTTTTTGATATATAATTTCAGAAATGGCGGTTATTCCACGTCTCCGCTGATCGGCACGTACTGCGGTACGACCATCGACAATCCCATCATCTCCCATAGCAACCGTCTGTACCTGAAGTTTGTCACGGATTACTCGCTCTCTGGGCAAGGTTTTCATGCAGAGTACGATGGAACATCTACAGGTCAGTAGTGTACAAACAATGATTGTCATTGTGTTTTTGAATGATTTTCATACATATATATAATACTTGTGTACTATGAGAGTATCATAATACAAATCCAAAGATACACAAAAATACTCTAACAACTGGTTCAAAATCTATTCAGTTGCACCACCCAGAAGTTAAAAGGTATGGATCATGCTAAAAACTGTTCAACCACTTTTATAATTCTTAGTCAATGCAGCAAATAAAAAACCTCATACACCTACAACTACATGACTGTATATATTATAAACGTGGACCAGTGTAGGTTACATGTAGGTGCAGGTGGACATCAGAAACACCTATATAGCTCCAATTTTGCCTGCACTATCCTGCATATGCAGGTGTTATTTCAATCCGTGACTTGTGTTTTGTAGCATAACTTAAACTAGCTTTCTTATAAACCTTCCACATTGTTTCCCTAGGATGTGGTGGCACCCTGACCACCCCTACTGGTACCTTCATCTCTCCCAACTACCCCCTGCCGTACGACCACCAGGGAGAGTGTTACTGGCACATTACTGTAGCTGAGGGGTCCGCCATCTTGTTGACCTTCGTCGACTTTGACCTTGAGAGCCACAGCCGCTGTGCCTATGACTATGTCCGAGTGAGTATTGTATTAGTCAAAAATTAGAACTTACATTTGTAAATGCATTAATTTTGATGCAATAGTTTCTATAAGACGTTCTAACCAGCATCCATCTTTCCATCATTGGACAGAATTTTATATGCCACTCATATGATAGACTCCATCTTTGACAGGCAAAAATTGCCATGATAAGATATGAAAAGAGATGTCATCAAACTACAATGTAAGCTTAGTCTACCATCAAAATTTTCCCCTCAAAATGTAGGAAATAGTGTTTCAGAGGGTGAAGATTTCAAAATATTGTGTGGCGTCACGTGGTGTAATGGTAGGGCATTCGGCTGAGTTCAATTCTACCTACATGCCCCGACGTTGTGCCCTTGGGAAAGGCACTCAATACAACTTTGCCTCAACATGCCAGTTATTGTGCCAAGAAAATGTGCCAAGAAATGGCAGTAAATATCAGACAGATTTCCTCGTCATTCCTTTTTTTTAGCCACCTTGAAATTGCATTGGATGCCTTTAAAATAACTTTCTGTGCCCCCCCCCCCCAGGTGTATGATGGCCCTGATGTGCTGGCCCCGCTCATGATCAGCCTGTGTGGTACAAACATCCCCCAGCCTCTCACCAGCTCCACTCACCAACTCACCATCAAGTTTAGGGCAGACTACTCTGTAGCAGGACGGGGCTTCCAGGCCGCCTACCACAGCTGTAAGTCAATCTTTGTTTGTTTTCTATACAATAAGCAGTAAACATTGTCAATAGTAAAGTTATTTTATTCACAACTATTTGTTTTACATGAGCTGATGTTTCAATGACCGTCTGTCATCCTAGCCAATATAGCCCTGATGAAGATGACAGACGGTCATGGAAATGTTGGCTCATGTACATGTAAAACAAATGATTGTGAATAAAGTAACTTTACTTTAATATTTACCAACCTGATAAAATTATTCATGGATATACTAAACATCACTAAACTACAGCTGCCAGGCAACAAAGGTTTAGGTTTAGAAGCAGGAACAAGATATGTTCTTTGCATGCAACATCTAGGCAAAACCCATTGGAGCTGACACTATTAATGTTGAAACTATAGCCTGATTTTCAGTCTGCAAAATTGCAAGTTCCTTAATTCTTATTCTTCAATATTAAAAATATCTCTGCAAAATGCAGACTGTATGTGGATATTTCTAACACTGCCTTCTCTCCTTTCTCCTTTCTACAGTATGTGATCGTACCATCACTGGACAGACCAGCGGTGCTATAGCCAGTCCCAACTACCCTGACCCGTACCCACACAACAGGGAGTGTACATGGATCATCCAGACTACACTGGGAAATGCTATCAATGTCTCCTTCACCAACTTTAACATTGAAGACCACTCTTCATGCAACTATGACTACATCCAGGTAATACTTGTACTGTCAATCTTGACAAGTCAGGTCTGTTTGTTAATTGAAAAATCACAACATTAAATGAATCAACAATATCGTCATTAATAGACACACAATTAGAAACTTTCTCCTATGAGAGAACGCATCGGACAACATATTATAATGCAAGGTATATAAAAAGGCCACACCAAGTAGTTTTTATGGATGATGTCCTCTAGAGACCCTGAATCTAATGCGAGAGCAAGAAAAGAACAAGAAGGGCCAATAAAAGCAAGATGCCTAGTTTTGAAATATACTACTTATAAGCGACTACAAATATTAGGGCACAAATTGAATGAGAGAACACAGTGTAACAACCAAGTATTTTAATCGTCATGAATATAATAATATAGCAATAAATCAGTGGAACAGCAGTTGTCACCCTGTCCTGTTTCTTTCCTTCATTCACATCTTCCCTTATCCCAAGAATACAAGAAGCGGATTTTTTTTCTGGGAACAGGCCAATGTCAATGCGCGCGTGGAGTCATCCATAAAAATTACTTGGTGTGGCCTAAGAATGCTTTGCTTTTTCATTTTGTTAAAAACACATACGCAATGTTTGTCGTCTACAGTTCCGTGATGGCGGAGATGCCAACTCCCCTCTGATTGGCACGTACTGTGGCACGTCGACCCCTGCCGACCTTCGCTCTACCGACAACAACCTGTGGATCAAGTTTAAGTCCGATGCCTCCGTCGCTCGCAACGGTTTCAGGTTCGAGTGGGTTATGGATGGTAAGTCTGTACAAACTATCATTTGTTCTAAGTTAGTAACTTGGTTTTTTGAGATCGTTTGAGATAGTCTTTTCAGCACCAAGGAAAGAGGCCAGCCAGTTCGGTTTCTCCACAGGCATATGCATCATAAAGAATAATAATTATGAAAAATGTTCAAAACATTATGAAGTACAATGTAATAGGCAAGTTTCAGGGGAAAACTATACTAGCGAGTTCTACTGATTGTCTCTTCAGCACCAAGGAGAGAGACCAGCCAGTTTGGTATAATGTAATATGCAAGTTCCAGCCAGTTTGGTTTCTCCAAATCGTTTGAAAAATTGAACATTATTCTTTACAGGGCTTTAGCCAGCGCCCGTTTTACCGTCAATTGACGGTAATATGTCCCGTCTGACGGTAAAAATTTAAGTCCTCACCGTCAACATTGACGGTCAAAATCGTGGGTAAAGACATAGAGAAAACTAGTGAATTTGAATGAGCCAAGCGCGCGGCGTCTTTTCCAAACGCACGGCGGCGGGAAACCTAACTTCAAGGACCGTGCCGACGTCTGTTGACTCGGTTCTATTCTTCAATGTTGCTGTCTGTTAAAACAACATGTGCTAACGACCACATAAGAACAATGGCTTGATTCAGACACACGCTGCTAACTGTACATGACAATACGATAAATAAACGTGACAACGAACAAATGAATATCAACATTTTGAAAATGAACATTATGAACTGTACTTGAATAATCATACTATCCCAAGTATCCAAACGGAGATCGATCCACACAAAGTGGCCTTATTTAATATAAAACTTCGTCAGACCTCCTTAGAAGACTTGAGCGGGCAACATAAGGATTTCTGGAGGATCGCCGACACGCGAGTTTTTGCCGGCCACGTAACTCCCTCCGCGGCAAAATCCCCCATGCCGTAGCGAAATCGCGTCTCAGTGCTTACCCCCAAATCAACTCCATGGCCGCTTAAGTCTGCAAAGGAGCTTTAACTTCTTCATTTCGGTTGAGAAGCGAAGCTACAAGTGTAAAATCATGTACATGTCGGCCATTTTGTTTGCTACCCGAAGTCTTCCGAATGCTCTAAATAAGGAAATCGTCGGAAATCTGAGCCACATCGCTCGCTGTCGGTCAGCGCTCGGGGCCGACTCGGTGGAAATCGGAGGCTGTGACGTCATGACTAGGTTCATTTGCATGACGAAGCCGGCTGCCGCTTGAATCGCGGCGGGATTTGATCGTGTCAAAACAAAGGGAATAGCGGATTGTTCATTGCGTGTTGTCTCCTTGTGAGAACTATAGATTTTTTTTTCATTCTGGAAAATTGCAGATTGTGTAATTTTTTTTTTATTCTGCAATCTTGAGGGGTATTTAGAACACTGAATGCATGAAGTGTGTGGGAGGGCGTGATGTCGATCACCGGATCATGAAACGATTGAAGGCATTGATTGACGGAATTTTTTTTCACGTTGACGGTAATTTTTTTCGCGAATTGGGTTGATCTGGGGTTGACGGTAAAAAATTTCGAGCTGGCTAAAGCCCTGATTCTTTATGATGCATATGTCTTCAGAGAAACCAAATTGGCTGGCATCTTTCCTTGGTGCTGAAAAGACTATCAGTAGAGCCCACTTACTTGTTTCCATCGAAAATGTTTTAAACATATGCCATTTAAAAGAGATTATTCTTTTTTATGCACCTAATTGCATATAAACCAAATTGGCTGGTCTCCTTGGTGCTGAAAAGACAATCAGTAGAACTCACTTGTGTAGTATTCCCCTAAACATTGCATATTGCATCATACTTCCATGGTTTTGAACATTTTTCTTTTTGTTTCATATTCCTTTGGAGAAACCAAACTGGCATCTTTCCTTTGTGCTGAAAAGACCATCAGTTTAACTCACTTACTAGTACATGTTTATATAGGATTCCACTGAACTTTGCACACATGTACAACATTACTTAACAACATTTTGAACATTTCTCTGTTGTACTCTAGGTTGTGGAGGCAACCTGAATGGTCCTACTGGTGTCCTGAACAGTCCAAACTACCCCAACCCTTACGACCACCGTCGGGAGTGTCTGTGGTACATAACCGTGGACCCGGGAAGCAGCATACAGCTCACACTGCATGACTTCGATGTGGAGAATCATCCCAACTGTAACTATGATGTACTGGAGGTATGCAAACTCTAACTCTTCATTCTAACACTATGTACTCAGTCTAATAACTACAACTACATGTCTAGTAATAAGGCCTGGAGAAAAAAAATGTTGTGTTTCCTGTTTCAGTCTTGAAAAATAAGGGTAAAAAAATTAGGGATTTTTTTTTTCAACGGAGTAGTTCATTGCAAGGCCTATGCAACCACTTCTCGGCATTGATAGATGAGAGAAACATGGCTAGGTCAAGAGATGGCTGTGAATGTTTGATTTGAAAGCCCTCCTTGAACTCAGTTCTGCATGGCACTTGCAACATTACGTAACCCAACACCACAGACTCTCTGCTACAACACCAGTCACCATGGTGACAGACGTCTGGTCCTGGTCATTGACCTTATTTGTTTGGAGAAGAAGAAGAGGAAGAAGAACCAGAGCAAAAACATTATGTTTCCTTCTGCAAAGGTAAACCAATGTTATTTTTTCTGTAGGTATACGGTGGTCCTGACCTGGACTCTCCCCAGCTCACCAGAATCTGTCAGAACAATGAGTTTGCTCGGGAGATGCAGCTGTCCAGTACTGGTAACGCCATGGTGGTCAGGTTTGTGACTGACCAGTCTGTGAGCGGCCGTGGATTCAACGCCTCTTACGCTGCCATCCAAGGGGGTAAGTACTGAAAATAGAACAGCTGTCACTTCAGCCGAGTTACTTGCATTGTTCAATTCCAGCTTAGGATATTTTGATTTTCGTTCATATGAGGTGATCAATGAGACAAATAAAAAAGTAACATTCACACAAGATCTAAATATTTCATGTAGGTCTGAGATGTTTAAATTCTTGTTTTAGGTTGCGGTGGAAACTTCTCTACTCCAACTGGTATGATCCAGTCACCTAACTACCCCGATGTGTACCCTCACAACGCTGACTGTACCTGGACCATCACTGTGGAACAGGGGAAGATCATTGTCTTGACGTTCGACTCTTTCCTGATTGAATCACACTCCCAGTGCAGATATGACTTTGTGGCTGTGAGTATGAACAAAATATGCTTTAGGCCACATTAAGTTGATTTATTGGTTCTTGGATATTTTTAAAAAGACATGCTTAACTAGAAGAACATAATAAAAACAAAGCCTGAGGATAAGGTTTATGCACTCTGTTTCGTAGCTTAAAACAAAGTACAATAACTTAAAACTTACAGTAACTGTACTTTCTATGTTGCTTTATGTTCAGTAAATTAAAACATACTACAGTAACTTAAAACCGAAGTACAGTTACTTAAAACTTACTGTACTTTCTATGTTCCTTAAGTTCAGTAACTTACAACAAAGTACAGTTAACTTTAAACAAAGTACAGTAACTTAAAACTTACATGTACTGTACTTTCTATGTTCCTCAAAGTACAGTAACTTAACACAAAGTAGAGTAGCTTAAATCAAATTACAGTAACTTAAAACTGTATTTTCTATGTTCCTGTTAGTTGTACGATGGCCCGGATCCCAGTAGGAATGGTTCGCTGATCGCCAAAGTGTGTGGGAGTACCATGCCAGATCCCAACACCTTCCGCACCACGGGGAACCAGATGTACATCAGGTTCAGCTCCGATTCCAGCGTCGCACGGCGAGGGTTCCACGCAACCTACAACACTGGTTAGTACTCCAACCTTTTGCTATTCATTTTGTTGAAATATCCTCTAGCAAGGCACCCTAAGCGATTTTAGGGCAGTAAAACTGGATTTTCAAAGTCAACTTCTGGTCAGTTAGTTGAATCAACTACTGATATTCCATAGAATATTGTGAATGCTTGTTGTAAACGTTGGCTTGGTCCTTTCCTTGGTGCTGAAAAGGCAATCAGTTGAACTCATTTAAAATTTGTAGTACATTTTGTCATTTCACATTAGATATTAACCATGGTATATCTGTCTTTATCTAGGACAGTTGTTTTATTCTGTTACTGTCTTTATTTAGGCTGTGGAGGCCTTTTGAGTGCTGATACTGATGGACAGCTGACTTCTCCCAACTATCCCAGCAACTATGACAGGAATACAAACTGCAGCTGGATCATTTATGCCAGTGGAGCAAGTAAGTAGGGAGAATTGAAGTTACAACCTTATGCAGTTATTTAAGTCAATTCTGTAAATTGTAAAATTTTGCCAATGACCTTTAACAAAATGTAAAACTTGCATAGGGACACTTTCATTTTCAATGACAATGTTGGAAAACCGATTGTACAGTGTTTCATCGCTTATGTGTCAGATCATGGAGGTAGAAAAGGTTGATCAGCTTGAAAAATTTATGTCCCTTGCAGAGGTCCACACAAAAAAAGGCTATGGTCGGCATTTTTTTCTAGGGTTGTATGGGAAACAGGAAACACAGCATTTTTTTCCTGACCTAGCTGTAAGTTTAAGATGATGGAACTGTTTTTTTTCTCCTCAGCTGAACACGTGACCCTGACCTTCACACATATGGACACAGAGGACAACAACGGAGATTGCGGTGACGACTATGTCACAGTGTACGATGGAAACACACCACAGTCTCCTTTGATTGGTAAGTCAGTCATATCACATGTTATATTGTTATCTGTTTGGACACCTACATTTGTACTGTTACCCAAAAAATAAATATCAGCTTAGAAGTATTTTCTGTCAAAATAAGTTCCTTTTTCCTGATGTTGTTTCAGGTACCTACTGTGGCACACGTATTCCCGCTCCTATCACATCATTGGGCCAGTACTTGACTGTGCAATTCACCTCAGATAGCTCGATCCAGAGGAGTGGTTTCAGCGCTCTCTACACCAAGTCTATCTCATGTAAGTAGTATCTAATGTGCAGTAAGTTGAAGTATGAGGAGGAGGATTATTACTTGAACAAAAGGAAGTAAAGTATTGTTTTTGGGGCTGTTTATGTGTAATGTTTTGCTTGTGTGTGTGTGTGTTTGTGTGTGTTTGTGTGTGTGTGTGTGTGCATGTGTGTTTCCAAATATATATGTACATGTATTACTACATGTACATAATTCAGCATTCATGCATTGTCTACAGTGCTATTATTTTTTTTCTGTGGGACTGCAAACCAGTATGGGTAAGGGGTTGAAGTCTGCCATCACTGTTTGCCATGTTCTGTTTTGAATAGTGTTAACAGAAATGATGGTTTTTATTCTATAGCTTGTGGAGGAGACCTTATTGCAGAGCATGGAGCATTTAACAGTCCAGGGTACCCACAGAACTATCCCATCAACACGGAGTGTGTGTGGACCATCACTGCATCACCTGGTAACAGGGTCCAGGTGTCTTTCAGGTTAGTGATGTATAATGTGCCAGTGGTGTGGCCAGCTCGAAATTTGTTTCTGTCAGCTCAGGTTCATGATCTGATCTGAAGTAGAGTACTCTCAATGTTTGGGGGCAAATTTTGGACTTTGATGCCTTTAAAAATGCAATTTCCCACATTTTGAGAGACAAATTGTGGTGTTGAGAGTAGTTGGTGGTGGTCATTTGGATGTTTTTATATTTTTATATTTTTTCTTCTACATCAGACTGTTAGAGACAGTCCTTGGAAAAGAATTATGTTACATTCAGATGGTGAGGTTTTGAGAGAAAATTTGACTTATCAAACAGCATAAAAATGACTTTGTATGATTGAGTGTGTTCATTTCATGTTTTGAATTGGAATGGTTTCAAATATCTTGTTCTACTGTAATGCAGCTTGTTTGACCTGGAGAACCACAACACCTGTACGTATGACTACGTCGAGATTCGCGAGGGAACCGACGACAGTGGCACGCTGCTGGGACGATTCTGCGGACAGTCTGTGCCGGCAAACGTCACCACCGGTCACCAGCTGTGGATCAAGTTCCGCTCAGACTATTCTCTAACTGGCGCTGGCTTCATGGCACAGTACAGCATGTGTAAGGACATATTATTATTTTGGCGATGCCTCAGGGGGGAGCCTGTTAGTGTATTTAGTGTCTTCAGACTGGAAGAAGAATGTCAAAATTTGGAATGTACTGCTCGGACTATTCTTTAACTGATGCTGGCTTCATGGCACAATACAGCATGTGTAAGGACGTATTATTTTGGCAATGCCTCAGGGGGGAGCCTGTTAGTGTATTGTGTATTGAGATAGTAAGAAGAATGTCAAAATTTGAAAAATTAATGTAGATTCCACCCTTCCACTGTTGGCAACCTTTTCTAGTAGCAATATCATCATCATCATAATTTCTTTCATTATATATTTTAGTGCAAAAATTTTACCAAACTGCAAGGATCTATGAGCTGTATAAGTAGTGTGGTGTGTTTGAGAAAGACACAAAGGACATTACCTACATTTAAAGTGTGTGTCCTACAATGTATGTTAATAAGTGTAGTGTAAATATAAATTTATATCTATTTCAATTCTAAATTGTTGGTCAGTTGGTCTTGAATGTCCTTTTCGTTTCACAAGGCAATGTTTAAAGCTTGCTCGACTCATGCAAGTAGTTTGAAAACTGACACTTGAATTTATCTACTTTTTCCAAACAGTGCATGGTGGTGATTTGACCGGTCAAGCTGGACAGCTGGCCTCTCCGCTCTACCCGCGCCAGTATCCCAACAACGTGGACTACATCTGGACAATCTCTGTTGGTTCTGGAATGCGAGTCCGTGTGGACTTTGTTCAGATGAACATGGAAGGTTTCCCTGGTCTGCCTGGAATTCCAGTTTCTTGTGCCTTTGACTGGCTTGAGGTAGGCATTGTACATGAACCTTTGCATAGTTGGGCAGATACCAACATTAGGTTTGCCAGAAAGGCTATAGTTAAGTACACTGAAACAAGGAATCATAACTAGGGACTACAATCTTGTTCCCATTTTGGGTCCTCCACTGCGCAATGCAATATAATGGTGACGCCTGCCCAGTTATCTCCGTATATGGAGGTTTTGTTTTGTGTGTCTGTGTTTCCATGTTTTTTCTACATGCTAAGTATGTTGACAATACTGACAAGAGGTTGTTTATTATTGGGCTATCTCATTTCTTGTTTCAATTTCATGCTATATATATGTACATGTTTGTTGCCATATGGTAGCCAGACGGAAATGAAAATTTGTGTGCCCAGAAGTCAAATGTGTACACTATAGTCATGATTTTTGTTTCACTTTGTCTCAACAGTTCCGAGATGGTCCCAACCCGACCTCTCCAGTGATTGGTGACAGACTGTGCAGTACTGTTCTTCCCTCGACTGTGTACAGCACCAGTAATATCATCCGCGTGGCCTTCCACACTGACTACAGCGTCACAGGCACTGGTTTCCTCTTCACCTGGCTGGCTGAGCCTTATGTGAGCCCAACTGGCCAACCTGCCACCATTGCACCAGGTAGATGGGCTTAAAGCTGCATTATGTAATATTTTGAACGATACTAGTAATGTCAATTTTATGTTCATTTCTGTTAAATCAACCCTACTCTTGGACTATTGCAAATAAGTGGAGGTGTCAAAATATTACACCATACGAGTGTGTTTAAAAGCTGGAAACACACTCAGGTGTTAGCTGTTTGTTTACATTGACACAAACCTTCTGGGTTGATTTAGCACCAATCAGAAATGTGAGATAATTGGCCAAAATCTGTGCAAAAATGATACAATGTTACGAAAGATTTTTTTTTGCAAGGAATGGTTGACAGTGTACAATGTTCAATGTACAATGGAAGACCCTTGTCACAAGTTCCTATATGACCTTGGCTTGACTGATCAAGGTCAGGCTTCTTCTGAATCAGTGTACTAAAGGTTATACTCTGACACTGTCCTCCCACAGGGGTGTGTGGAGGTGATGTCATAGCCGGCAGCACCCCCCTGCCTCTGGTCTCCCCTGGTTGGCCCAATGGTTACGACCATAACCTGGACTGTATCTGGACGATACGCTCGCCTGCCGGGACTCATGTCCGCCTCACGTTTACCGGCATGAGTCTGGAGGCCCACGGAACCTGTAACTACGACGCTGTTACCGTTATTGACGGTTAGTATTCAAGACATGTTTAGTTAATTAAGTTACTGAGTTATCTTTTTTTGGCTAATCTTTCAGGGCTCCAAACAAATAACATAAAAAAATAATACCATACACATTTTTAGTTCAATGTAACGTTACATAAAACACAATACACAGGACATACATGGAGAATATTATGATAACATGTACTTCACGTAAATTTCAAAATGGAAAATCATTTGACTTTCACAGTACAAAATATATTAAACGTTCTATGAAAGAAAGATTGCATGCACTTAGATGATGTCTTCAGGGCATTCTAGAGCTCCACAGATCCATACACAAACATTTAGTTTCAGTCTTCTGGATTTGGCAATGAGAAGTTGACTGTTTTCTTGAATGGCTACATGTATATATCATAAAGTAATCTCCAAGCAGATACTACAGTGGCATTGGGCAGAGCTGGCTAATGGATACTGTCTTGCCACAATAGGATCTTCTTGGAGATAACTGTATATTTATCTTCCTTTTATTTATGTTTTTCTTCCTTTTACTTTTAGGTGATAACCCCCAGCCCCCTAAAGGTGAAGTAGACATGTGTGTGTGTGTGTGTTTCTCTGTGTTATGTGAAACTTACTCACAAACTAACAAACATCTTTGTTTGCAACTAACATTTCTGGTTTGCGTGCCAATTTGTGTCTGTTTTTGGATTGACATACATTTTGTAACTGACACTAACAAGTAGCAATATCTTTGTTGTGTGTGTGTTTGTGTGTGCCAACTAACTTTCTAACACAGTAATGTGTGTGCATGTGTGTGTGTTTCTGTGTGTGTTTGCATGTTTGTGTGTGTACAACCTAACTCACTGATGACCAGTTGTCACATTTGCAGGACAAAGGATATAACCAATGCAGCAAATTAAACCTGCTTTGCATGGATTTTTGCAGATCTTGAGCCATTTAATGGTCAACATCCACTAGTTTTTTTACATGTCATCGAATGCTAGACAACATTAAAAGCAGAGGGCAGTTGTGACTTGAATCACTCACTCATTCAAGGACTGCATGTATCCTGTGATATGGAGATGAATATGCATTTATGATGATGATCTATGATCAATGTATATATTTTTCCTAACAAATGCTGGTTCTTAATCCCTGTTTTATGTTCAGGTAATGTACATGTAGATGTGCTTCTGTGCTCAGTGTCTTGTCCACAGTTGCTGCATGCTGTACAACAAGTTATAAAAGCTGTTTCATGGTCCCAAGTGTGCATGGATGGCATTATGCATTGTCAATAATAAGATGTCAAAGACATGAAGAAATCAGGTCTAACCATGCTTTATACATGTCCATGCAGACAATATTTTTTTAATGTCTTAGGGTTCTTCAACTTAAAATATTGCATTATACCAAACATGCAAACTTGGACTCATGAACCATAATTGTAGCATTTCCTAACATTGTCAACATTTTGGTACAATTTTGCAGTATTTTCCTTTTTTTTTGGTGATGTGTTAGTGACATGGCAGTCCCTCTATTTGAGTACTGATTTGCTTGATGTTCTATATCAACGTACAGGTGAGACTATCAATGATTCCCAACTTGGAAAGTTCTGCGGCCGCCCTAACCCCCTGCCAGGTCCTCTGGACTCCTCCCTCAATGCCATGGTCGTTCGCTTCACCACCGACTATTCCGTCAACAGTACCGGATTCTCTGCAACATATCAAGCTGGTTAGTTTTGACAGATGGTTTTTTAATGATTCAGTTTTACTTACTCATTGATTAGTTAGTTGATAGGTTGATTTACTTTGTGCATTTTTTGTTATATCTTTGTTACATGTATATACCAAATGAAGGGGATAACTGAAAAAGTTAGAAAATGGATTTACATGTATTTATTCACATTTTTCTTTGAGTTCACCTTAAGACAAAAGACAAGTACACGTAGATTTCAGAGAATTTCCTCAGCAACTGCCAATTTTAAGCTTGATTCCTTTGAAATATATTTTTTGAGAGCAATGATGACAACTCGACATGCAGTGTAGGGTTTATGTGCATGTAAAGTGTTACCTGCATTTGACAATGAAATGTTTTACTTTTGCACTATCCTAAACACTTTTTAACAACGCAGAATGCAAAAAGTGTCTGACATATTTTTATCATTACACTTTCAGCTTGTGGTGCCGCGATCAATGCAGACAGTGGTTCGGTCATGAGCCCGAACTTCCCTAACAACTACCCTAGCAACGTGGACTGTGGCTGGCCAATCACTGTGTCCAGTGGCATGACAATCGGCCTCACATTCGACAACACATTCAACATCCAGGGGAACTCTGGAAACTGTGGAGGAGACTATCTTATGGTAAAGTCTGGCAGACGTCTTTCAATATTAGAGCAAATACATGTACATGTAGGACAAATTTTGACAGTAGTTTTACAGCTATCCATCCATCTGTCCATCCATCCGTCCATCTGTCCATCCATCCGTCCATCTGTCCATCCATCCATCCATCCATCCATCCATCCATCCATCCATCCATCCATCCATCCATCCATCCATCCATCCATCCATCCATCCATCCGTTCATCCGTCCATGTGTGTGTGTGTGTGTGTGTGTGTGTGTGTGTGTGTGTGTGTGTGTGTGTGTATGATTGTGAGCGTTTTTTTTCAAAATCTGAGAAATTGGCATGGCCTAAAATGTTCCATCTGTACTCTCTCCACAGCTATTAAATGGAGACCAGGCTGACTCCCCTCCCCTCCTTCCACCTGGCAACAACGGTGACGGTAAATACTGCGGCAGCTCTCCACCAACCAACCTGCCGCAGACAGGCAGCAACAAGCTGTACGCTCGCTTTGTGTCCGACGGAAGCGGAGCAGGCTCAGGTTTCAAGGTCAACTTCCAAGCTCAAGGACAGGGTCAGTGTTATAGACAAATGTAGCCAAAACTATCAGCATACATAGCATACATTATGAACTTTATTTGTTTGTTTATGAAGGAATCTTCAATTAGTGACAATACAACCACTACTCTTCCTGAAGTCCTCTTACATACATTGTAAAATTAACATTATAACTACTTTTTACATTCACTTGTAACTACTTTGAAAAAAGGGCAACGTTGTCTTCCTAATTTTTGCCAAAGGCAACTAAATATAATGATAACGTTAATTAATGTTTCCTGATTTTTCCATTGCTAATTCACAACGCTGTGAAAGTGTGTATCTTATGTAGTATTTACTGCTGTATTTTTACAAATTACATGAATAGTATCAACTGCAAACTTATCACAAAATTTATCAGAATGCTATAGGATAGGATTGATTCATCTAACTACATTAACTTAAGAGAATGACCAGAAAATTGACTTTGAAAATCCAGTTTTGCTGCCCTGAAATTTCACTCGATGCCATTATTGTTCAGAATAATCAGTGATAAACTGTAACTAATATGTTGTTTGTTTTACAGCTTGTGGAGGCAGTTTGGCTCTCACCAACTCAGTCACAGAAGGGTTCATCATGTCACCTGGTTACCCCGGCAACTACCCTGTAAACATCGACTGTTTCTGGACGATCACCGCTCCCTCCGCCATCCAGCTGGACTTTGTGGAGACGTTCTACATCGAATCTCATCCAAAGTACGTGTCTTACAATGCAGGGTTCCATTTGGTTCTCACACGGGCTTCAAATTGTTCCTTAGAATAATTCTAATGCATTTGACGCATTGTGTGTGTGCCGTTTACTGAAATTTGAAGTCCGGATTCGGAAGTTTGAATTGGTGCTAAAATGCCTTCCATTGTAAAACACCTTTTTTCTTCAATTTTTAAAATACAATGCACCGTATTGTATTTTAATCATCATCATCATCATCCACTGTGTTCTGCGTCTACAGTCGTGTGGACATGTCCTGTAGCCGCATTCAGTCTTTTAGCTATGGTGCACTGTATTTTAATACAGTGCACCATATTGTATTTTATTTATGTCACACCCACCCATGTCACAATGTCTAGACAGTCCATAGTTGACCTGTTGACCTACAGATTCCATTAGTCAGTCACTGTCAGTGACATCCTTTTTTGTGCTTTATCTCCATTTGTCGTCTAGTTGCCAGTATGACTTTGTCCAAGTGTTTGAGGGAGACTCCCAAAATTCCCCGGTCCTGGGTACGTTCTGTGGACAGACACTTCCTCCAACCGTGCGGACTGTCGGAAACACCATGATGGTTCGCTTCCGCACGGACACCAGTGTGCAGCATGCAGGGTTCAAGGCCAAGTACAGCATCGGTGAGTACATCTGTGAATAATTATTTCATCAGGTTGATGAATGATTGAATAGCAAAATTCTTTATTTACACTCACTTGTTCAACAAGAGTCAACGTTTTAATGACTTTCTGTCATTTTTGTAAATAGTCATTGCCCTGATGAAGATGACAGACGTTCATTGAAATGTCAGCTCGTGCTAAACATGGTTGTGAATTTTCAACTCTTTGCATTAAGATTCCGCTAGATGTAGAGTGAAATAAAGTATGGATTGATAAAAACACACTGAACTAGAAACTAAGGTAACATTTGCAATGCATAATGTTTACCATTACATACATGATTCTTACTCAAACACATTCACATATACATGTATGGTAACAGGAGTCTAAATCCCTTCTACAAAATTGCAACATTATGTAACCCAACACCAGTTACCATGGTGACAGACAGCCTGGTTCAGGTCATTGACCGGGTCAGTGTTTGGAACAGAAGAAGAGACAGAGCAAAAACAATATGTTTTCCTTTGGATAACATAATTGATTTTGTCCTGTACAGCTTCTTGTGGCGGGCGTTTGGCCGGTGACTCTGGAACAGTGATGAGCCCCGGCTTCCCTAATAACTACGCCAACAACCTGGACTGTGAGTGGCTCCTGCAGGGTCCCACCGGTCACTACGTCACCTTCACCTTCGCTGACCAGTTCAACATCCAGGGCAACTCGGGCAGCTGTGGCACCCAGGACTATTTAGAGATTAGGGATGGCACCAATTCAACTGGTCAGTTCTAGCTTGTTTGTTTCTTCATATTTAGGAACCTCCAATACAACCACTGGAGTCCTCTAGACACATTGCAATATACAAACATTACACAGTTACTACTATTTTAACCCTGATATTTTTCTGTTGGTGGTCAGCTCCCGTCCTTGGTCAGTACTGTGGCTCGAGCGCTCCGGCCAGCGTGGACACGTCCGACAGCTATGCGTACATCAAGTTCCACACAGACGGCAGCGGTCAGGCACCTGGCTTCAGTATGACCTGGCAGGCCAGTGTGGAATGTATGTCTGCATTTCTTATCATTAAAGCTACATTATGTAACATTAGGACATTGGAAAAGCGAATTTTCTGGTCATTTCTATACGAAGTTAAATGAACCCTACTCCATTGTAACTCCACTGTAAGGCCACACCAATTTTATTTGTTGGTCGTTGGATTCACTCACTTCACTTTTTTCTGATTTGCAAAAAAAACTGAGTGTACATCATATGTGGGCTGTTATATTACCAGATGTGAAATAATAACAAAAAAATATGTTCAAACGTAAAGGAAAAGGACCACGTGAGTCATACAAAAAAACTTCTACAGCATGCCTACATGGTGCTGAAATGCCTTCCATTGAGTAACACATCTATTATACCCCCTGTCATACAATTGTGGTGCATATTTTGACATTCATTGTTCATTTCATACTCTCCGCATGCTGATATTTAATAATGTTGTTGAAGGCTAAGAATAAATGACATTGATGTGATCAGATTCTTGATTAGGAAGAAACATTTTTACAAGAAATTCTACTCAAGCAAGTGAATTGTCAGATATTTGAAGAAGCACTTACGACTTTCCGTCAGTGACTGAAATGTTCTTTTGTTCTGTCAGCTTGTGGCGGCCAGCTGACCACTCCTACTGGTACGTTTACGTCGCCGAACTTCCCCGGACAGTACCCGCACTCCCGGCGCTGCGTCTGGCAGATCACGGTACCGCAGGGACGGCGCATCACGCTCAGCTTCACAACCTTCAACATCGAGAACCACAGCAGCTGCAGATATGACTACGTCGCTGTGAGTAAAAACAATTTTTTCTTTTACCTTTTACGGTGACATAATTTTTTGGATGACATCCTCTGAAGACATCCAAACTAGTGTGCACAGGTGAATAAAAAAATTTCCACCCAAAGAAAATGCTGCTAAACCACAGGAATACAAAGCTTGACGTATAATTGTAAATTTGGTAGTACATAGCGACTTTTAAGTCAAGCTGGCACACACTCGCCTTTTTTTGGAGTTTTTGAGTTCCGTGGAGCTTCGGAAATCCGTAGGATGGCATCCAGGCCAAAGCCTGGAAGAGGTGGGTTTCTTTGAGAACAGGCGAAAACCAATGCGGTCGTAGATGTCATCCTTAAAATTAAATCAGTGTGACTTTATTTAACCTTGAATTGTACAACGTATGCATACATTGCTATTTAGTTACACAATATACAAAATGTATGTTTTTTCACAGGTTTACAATGGCATCACTCCCAGCTCCCCCTTCATGACCAGGCTGTGTGGAGACACCCCTCCCACCCCTGTAGAGTCCAGTGGTAACACCATGACTGTGGTGTTCCAAACAGACGGCTCTGTCAGCAACGGAGGCTTCAGTGCCACTTACTCTTCCAACCAACTTGCAAGTAAGCAACAAAGCAGTGCTTGTTTAAAGTTTAAACTTTTGATCCAACACAGAGAAGTTCTCTCACCTAGAGCTTTCAACCAGTCACTCTGGTCTTCCTCAGTAGAGTGAGACTTGTCACGTGGCTTGTTTGAAGTGTGACGTCAACACTGCATCAAAGGTATCTGGTAGACTATGATTAACCTGATTAACTCCTTTGATTGGCACCTTTCAGCCTGTGGTGGGGTCTTGAGTGGTCCTCCTGGAGGTGGCACCATCACCTCTCCTAACTATGGCAACGGTAACTATAGCAACAGCCAGGAGTGTATCTGGGTCGTCAACAACCCTAATCCCATCAACTCCTCCGTGGTGCTGCAGTTTACTGACTTCGAGCTGGAGACTCATGGGAGATGTTTGTACGACTTCCTGGAAATCCGTGCAGGTGAGATATTCTTTCATCTGTTCTTTCATCTGTTCATTCATTCAATTATTTATTCATCTGTTTATTCACTCATTATTTCACTCAATATTATTAAGTCATGCATACATTCATTTATTTCTCATTCATTCCTTTATTCAACCTTTCAATCATTGGTGAACATTTATTTGGCTTTATATTGTCACCTCAGATACAAAATTAATATTTGACATAGAAAACAGAGCATTGTGGTCATTTGTCAGACATACATAAAAAGTTAAAGAATCTTTAAAGATTGGTTTGGTTTTGCCGACTTTTAGGGTTAAATATGCTGAATAACTGGAAAAATATAATGAAAACAAAGCCTGAGGAACTAGGTTTATTCCTCAGTGCCTCAATTTTATGGGCATGAATACAGTCATCTTTCAAATGGCTTCATCACTTGTTTGTTTCCACAGGTGGGGACATGAACAGTGTCTTGTTAACTCGGCTGTGTGGTGCAGACACCCCTCCCACCATGGCCATCCCTACAAACCAGGTCTGGATACAGTTTGTGTCCGACTACTCTGTGGTCCACCCTGGCTTTAGCCTCACCTACAGTTTCTCTGGTAAGTCATGATTTTTTGTTTGTTTTACATAACCGGTAAACCCCCTATTTAGGCATAACACACCGGTTTGGTGGCATTAAAATAAGTTAAGTTAAAATAACTTAAGTTAAGTTAAAATAACTTAAGTGTGCCATCACCACATCTTGTGATTACATGTTGAAATATAAAAAAAATAAATTAAAAAGACATACCAAAGATCATAAAGATCCATTCACAACTTCTTGAGTTCACAAACAGATCTAGACACACACACAAAGACGCATGAACCCAAAAACATTACTTATTAGTAGAAATATTTGATTTTACTGCTGCAGGCCACCCCAGTTCTTAAGAAGAATATTTACAGTATATTTATGTTTGATATTCTAGCTTGTGGAGGTGTATTGGATGGAACCAATGGCGTCATAACCAGTCCCAACTTCCCCAACAACTACGACCACAACGACTTCTGTACATGGCTCATCAGGGCACCAGAGGGACAGACAATTTCGGTAAGAATATCGGATATACTGTACCTTTGAGCCACAAAACTATTTTTCATTATGAAACGGGTTTGAACTGCAATTGCTAACACAAGAAATTGGACGTATGCAAATTTTCAACGACTGGAGTTGTACATCAGTCGAAAATTTGGTTACATCTAATTTCTTGTGTTGCCAATTGCAATTCAAACTTATTTCATAATGACTTCAAACCCATCTCGTATTAGCCACAAAAAGGCAGCAGAACCTTCAGCTAGTTGAAGGTGGCTGCCTCAAAATGAGAAGAGAAGAAGAAACTGAGACCATCTGGCTACCTACTCACGCTATACAAATGCATTGTTAACTTTGTGCCCTCCAGATCACGTTCACAGATTTTGCCATGGAGAATCATCCAAACTGTGACTTTGACTACTTGACAATCTACAACGGTGCCAGCATAAGTTCACCACAGATCGGTAGATACTGCGGAAACAACGGCCCTCGACCTTTCACCTCCGGCAGCAGGTATCTGTTGCTGTACTTCCAGACAGACGTCAGTCAATCGGCTATGGGCTTCAGGGCTACCTACACCACGGATGGCTTGGGTCAGTATACAGTTACTGTTGTATAATATAGAATTACACGGTGTATTCTGTATCGCCCGAGGTATCAATCCAACCGCAGGTCAGATCACCTTAAGGCTGGAGGGAGCAAGGGTAATGCAGAATACGCTGTGTAGTATAGTTCTAAGAAAAAGAGAAAACACACATTTCAATGAGAAATAACCTGAAGCTAACCAAAAAAATTTAAAGTTATAACGACATCAATTCTAATGTCCGAATCCGGCATTCGAATTTTCGATAGCAATGCACTCGGTGCATAACACATTGTTCTCTGGAACATAAATTAGAGTAATTTTTTGCCTTATTAATAAACTTATATATCACACCTGCAAGTTTGAATACAAGTTTTTTTTTTCAAATTGGGGGCATTATTCTGCATGAAGTTTTAATATCTTTTTGCTTTGAAACTTTGTTTTTCTCAGGATGTGGAGGAATTCTCCATGGTAACTCTGGTACCCTCATGAGTCCCAACTACCCCCAGAACTATCCTCACAATCTGGAGTGTGAGTGGACCATCAATGTGGACCCTGGCTACCATGTGTCACTCAACTTTGACCCCAATTTCTTCATCGAAGCTCACAGCAACTGTATCTACGACTATGTTATGGTAGGTAAAGCTGTGAACGAGGGTACAGTAACTGTACTGTAAAAATTGATTTAATTTAGGTACAGGTCCAAAATACCTAATCCCTAAGTACACAGTAAGTTATACGAATTATATGATATTTTCATACAATTTCATTCACACTAAAGCAACATTGGTTTGGAGAATTTAAAATCGTAAAAAATGTACACACGAAAATACCACAGTGACTGTACAGAAATGCGAAATGGAATGAAAGAAAACAAAATATGTAACACAATTTTGTTCCATTTCATTCTATTTTGCACTTTCTGGGGTCCCTGAAAATAATTTTCCAGGTACTTTATTGATGTTCAACCGAAATGATTTGTTATGTACTAATTCTGTTTTTTTTTTGTTTAGATTCGAGATGGAGATGACGAGAATGATCCAGTTCTTGGTGCCAGTAATTCTTACTGTGCCAGCAACGTCCCAGAACCTGTACAGTCCACCAGTAACGTCATGTTTGTCAAGTTCCGCTCAGACTACAGCAGCAGTGGCATGGGATTCTCTGCCAACTGGACAGTTGGTAAGGATCATTACAGATTTTTTTTAATGACTGCTGAGTGCAAGGCCACATGGACCACTTCTTGGCACTATAGTAGCACTAACTGAATCAGCATCTCTTCTCTCTAAGTCAGAAACATCAAGCTTAGGCCTGTAAAACATGGAAAATTCGCTGAAATTCAGGGGACACCTATTTGAAAGTGCCTGTTGTGGTGGACTTTGCCTCCGCTGTGTGAGGGCCGGTATTTTTCAGGGAGTACTGGTCATTCGCTAAATGTCAACTTCGATTTATACTGTATAACTTTGAATTGATTTGCTTAAAAATTGGGATGAATAAATGGAAGCACAATCTGAACATGACCATATAAAAAATTGAGATTCATGCTACGCTTAGCTCTGTAGAGTGGTCATTTGGGGTCATTCGCTAAATAGACGCTCCCGTATTTTAATAGACCAAGTACGTAGCAGAAGAATTATGTTTGAAGCTAGTGTTTTCAAGACAATCTTATGACTTCAAGTCTGCAAAAAGTTCTAGGTTGTATTTTTATTTATCCATGTACATGATGTGGTACTGTATGTTATGTTTAAGGTTGTGGAGCTACCTTGACGGGTGACTCAGGTTCTATCATGTCCCCTGGATATCCCAACCTGTATGACAACAACCTGGACTGTAACTACACCATTGCCCCTGCCGACTCACAACGCTTCATTGTCCTGGAGTTTGACACCAACGTCTTCGAGATTGAAGGTGTGTATACTTCAGAATATGTCTGTCTTAAGGTTTTGATTGTTCTTTGAGAATTTACAAGGGCTCCTATATAACTTGCATGCTTATCATGTAAACAAAAACAGTGATCGCTCATATTAAAACCCTTTTCCTGCTGTGCCCATATACACTTGTATGTATGGGTTGCACATACTGTGCCTGTATGTGTATACTGTACATTATGTATATATATATATATGTATATATAATATGTACACGTTGGGCGAATGCTGCTTTTAGGCTTTCTTTTTTTACTGGTAATTTTTTTTATGCCAGCAAAACTTTTGGTGACAAATTGGTAACTACCTAGCAACTGCCTGGCCAATTTGATACTGTCTTTTGCAGCTAACAAATTTAAGATCTGCTTGGAGATTAAATCCCCATATGATTTCAATATATCTGTTGAACTTTCAGATGGTACCAACTGCCGCTGGGACTATGTGTCTGTCAACGAGGGCACAGCGGCCACCCCGGGTCAGCAGCTGGGTCGTTACTGTGGCGATGACCCGCCCAGCCCGCACAGCACCCTGGGTACCATGTGGGTCCGCTTCTTTACCGACCAGTCTGTGCTGCGTAGGGGCTTCAGGGCAACGTATACAGTATCAGGTAAACCTTCAAGTTGTTACCGCCATGAAAAATGGAGGTATTGTTTTGGGTCTGTCTGTGTGTCTGTGTTTCTGCACATTTGTACATGAAAAATGGAGGTACTGATTTTGATCTGTGTGTGTGTGTGTGTGTGTGTGTGTGTGTGTGTGTTACTGCACATTTCTACATGAAAAATGGAGGAGGTACTGTTTTTGGTCTCTTGTGTGTGTGTGTGTGTGCGTGTGTTTCTGCATATTTGTACTGAGTATGACATCAGAAGGACTTTTCTTTTCTTCCATAGTTAGGTTCTATAATGGCTCTGACTTCTTGTGTTTTCTGCGTTTGCCCACTGTTATCCCACGTATAAATTTGCTTGGAGATTAAATCCAACCGTTTTGTCGACAGAATGTGGCGGTCGGTTCACAGACCCGTCTGGAGTGATCGCCAGCCCCACCCACCCTGCAGAGTACCACAACAACCTGAACTGTACCTACATCATGACTGTGGCCACAGACAGGATCGTGGAACTCAAGTAAGTACAGATATAACAAAAGACAATTCATTTGAATTATGTGAAAATTTTGTTCTGCAATTCGGAAATACTTTCTGCAAATACAAAGTCACTTAAAAGTCCAGATCTAAACCCAATTGGCATATACAAAATTGCATGTTGGCAAACATTTTACATTAAGTAGTAAGTAGTAAGCACAGAAGCTCTTAAACACCATTGAACCCCTAGACTGATTTTTTAAAAAGGCCAAACACTTCTAAAACACTGAAGCGGAAATTGATGGTATGTACAATTTACATGTATGGCATCAACTCAAAGTGCTAAGAAATATACTAAGATTTTCATAATAATAATTAGCATGTTTCAAAGTTTTATAAAAAAAACTTGACTTGTATTTTCCCAACAGGTTCTCCTTGTTTGACCTTGAGGCTCACTCCCAGTGTAACTACGACTACCTTGAGGTGCGTGACGGGCCCAGCTTTGATTCCCCGCTGCTGGCCAAGCTCTGTGGTAGCGAGATTCCAGACACGGTCAGGTCGACTGGGAACGCCATGTATGTGGCCTTCGTCACGGACTACTCCGTAACCGCTGCCGGTTTCAGGGCTGTGTATCGTGAAACTTTCGGTATGTATGACTCTTGTATTATTTTCCATTAGCCATCTTACAAGCATAGAATATGAGGTGGAATGCGCGCATGGTATAAAAGTATACACATGTACATGTATGTTGTACCCAGTATTTTACCTTGTACTTTATCTGGCCACTTCTACTTCAGAGGGTATGGGGGGGGGTAGGTGGACAGGTACAAATGTACATTTTACCATACAATAATATGAATTTTTTTATGTTTTCTTTACTCAAAAAAAAATTAAAAATGAAATAAACAACTGAAGGTGCCTGGGCCAAATTTTAGTTATTAAGTCAGGAACCTAAAAACAAGAAGTTGTTCATTGATGAAAACTTCTTCTTTTAACTTTTTTATAATTAGGATTTTGTGTTTATCAAATTAAATGGTCTTATATTGATGTTGTCATGGCAACAGGCCCTGCCCAAGGCTGCGGCGGATCGTTGATCGCTGACAGTGGGACGATCCAGCCCGTGGACGTTGACAACAACGGTCAGTACGAGAACAACCAGGACTGCACCTGGACAGTCACGGCGGCCGACACAAAAGTCATCAGTCTGAGCTTCGACTCTTTCGCTGTGGAGGCAGAGAGCCAGTGCAGATACGACTACCTACAAGTATGTCTTTTTATGTTTACCAAAGGAAAACATTGTTTTTTCTCAGTTTACTCTTCCGTTCCAAACACAAAAGGTCAATGACCCGAACCAGACGTCTGTCACCATGGAAACTGGTGTTGGGTTACATCATGTTGTAATTTTATAGCAGGATGGATTTAGACTCCTGTCACCATATACATGTATACATATGATATTGTGTTTGAGTAAGAATTAACAGAGCAGACCATCTGCAAAGGTGAACATTATGCATTTGCTTTGCAAATGTTACCTTTCTAGTTAAAACTTGCTGTTCTTGGTTTGATGTCGGTTGACCATTGTGGCACCATGAATACTCTGTCATCCACCTTTCTCTGACTTTCTAGTTTGTTTTTTGCCACAGTATCTTATTAAACGTAATTTTCCTCCCATAGATAAGAGATGGTCCGAGTGAGCAGGACCCTCTGATCGGCACCTACTGTGGTAACACCATCCCGCCTGCCTTCAACACGTCCACCAACTTCCTCTGGATACGCTTCTACACCGACCAGAGCGTCACCAACACCGGCTTTGTGGCCAGATGGCAGGCTGTGGACTGTGAGTGCAGCAACTCTCATTTGTTGACAAATTTTTTCTCAGTTGATATACCAGTAAACAACATGCCTTTAGTTTAAATCTGGAGTTCCAATTTAATTCCAGACTAATTTCCATATCTCAGCAACCTTACATCTAGATGGGCTAATATCATAAACTATAGGTAAAAATGATGTGAGAAATATGAATACATGTATGTAGCTGCCAATAATTCTGCAGAATTGCTCCAGTTCCCAAAATTCTGCAGAATTCTGGCTCCAGTTCAGAATTCTGCAGAATTGGGTTAATCCCTAATCTTTTGATGGCTACCACATATTTCTTACATCATTTTTACGTATAGTTTACGATATTACCCCATCTACATGTAGGTGTGAGGTTAACGTTGCTGGAAACTAGAAGTCCAGAATTAAACTGGAGACTGTATATACTAGCAATTCCTGATTTTTTTCACAGTACTTTTATATTTGCAGTTTTCGTGGTCACTTTAAAATGTCAGAGGAAAAATGTCAAAAATGTTATGGTGTAGCCTAAATGGATGCTGCATTTGACAATAAATTTGACTGGTGTATAATGCATATAGTGCATGTACATTTGTAATGCAACATTGAAATGAAAATACATTCACAGCACAATGCGGAGGGACATTCAATGCCACCAGTACCCCGCAAACTCTGACGTCGCCCAACTACCCCGGCAACTACCCTCACAACCTCAACTGTCGCTGGACCATCCAGGCTCCGGATCCCGCACAGAGGCTCCGGATCAAGATCACAGACATGCAGATCGAGGCTCATCCCCAGTGTCAATATGATTACCTCCAGCTGAGGGACTACCCTATGGTAAGGTCGCACTGACTTCGGCAATTTTCGTGTTCTTTGCAACATCTCTAGGCAGAGCCAGTAGTATAATATGTAATATTTTATTCGGCAGTCACATGCATATTCCATGGAATTGTGAAAGATGGTAAAATTTGTACATTGTTATTACACGTTAGGGATCTTAGCCTTGATTAGTTTACATGATTTTGTAACTAATTTCTTTGCCAGAGTGGTAACCTATTGTCCATTTAACAATAATGTTTACTGACATTATAAATTTGGCATGGTTGAAGCTGGTTGTAGACATCTCTTTTTTTAAATTTCTGTCTTGCAATATATGTTCTTTCTTCAAGGCAATTTCTTCAAGCATGTTGCATTAAATGTGTAGATTCTGAAGCATAGCAATGTGTTCTGTACATGGTGCAATGTGTTCTGTGAAGGATGTAAATGTGCTTTGCATGAGAAGATTTGCTTTGCTACAAAATTGGCAAGTAATAGTAAATGCAGTGCAGTAACTGTTAGTGTTACTAATCTGTTGCTTGTTTTTAAGGTTTCATTTGTAAGTACCCTCTACCAGGCTTCGCAAGTGGCTGGAAAGAATGGAAACTGTACAAATACATGTAGACAGATATGTATATGCCAGGGGAGTTGGTCTGCTAAAGGAATGTTTGCTGCCTCCTTTAGTGGGACCAACTCCCCTGACATGTTTTCTGTCAATAAGGCCAATTTCTACTCTTTCAGCTGCTTCCAAAGCCTGGTAGAGGCTTATTTGAGGCTAAAATCAAGACCAAAATTATGGGAATAACAACTCTAGCATTTTCACCACAAGTTCAGCATGATTGTCTTCTAACCTTAAATTTTAAAGTTTGGTCTGCTTGTTGCACTAACTGCCATGACTTAACCAACTAACCCTCCGTTAACTAGGACGACACTGGTCGTACGTTGACGTACTGTGGTAGACAGCTGATAGAGTTTGACTCTCGCAAGCCCACGCTGCAACTTAACTTCCGAACTGACGTGAACTCAGCTGGCCGAGGATTTTATCTGACTTATGAGATAGCATGTAAGTTGTGGGATCATATTGTCATGCAGGAAAAAGATCAGCAGCAAACAAAGCAATTTAGACAAAACTATCACCTTATATTAGCAATTAAAGCTAGTATATCAAATGATAGAGTTGACTGCCATTGTAACTGCTCAGTATTTCATATGTTGAACCAAGGAGCTCCTTGGTTGAACTTAATCATAATATATAATTGTAATGCTGCTGGTCTCTTCCTTACTGCACTTGAAGAACAAAAATGAATACAAGCTTCTTATGACCACATACATTTATTGTTAAAATGACACTGAA